GATCTTTTCACCTGCAAGTTCACTCCCCAAATGACTACACGAGCTTGGACCAGCACCCTGGTCTCCCTGAAGAGTGGCAGGACCTCAGAACTTGGACCATCTTGTGCTGCCCTCCCAGGTGCATCAGCAGGAAGCTGGACCAGAAGCACAGCAGCAGTTACGGTACTCAAATCTGTGCTTGGATAAGGAGCATCGCAAGTGGTGGCCACACCCACTGTGCCACATCAGCTCCTGTAGCTTCATTTTGATGGAATTTAACTTAAGGATTCAGGAGACTTAACAACATCCAAACTACTATGCTTTGTGAGATGTTTTATGTAATCCGTTGCCCAAACCTACTGGTTGCAAAACCACCACTGAATTTATGAGAAATGCAATCCAATTTAAGTTTTCCCAAAGGATACGCTTACACTTTAAAGTAGGAACAGTAATATTGTATATGCAGTAATACCATAAGGAGAAAATAAATTCATCACCCATTTGGCATATTCTTAGGGAACTTTCCAAGTCTGTAGAGAAGTGGAATTAAAATGCATTTATTTTGGCACAAAAATTAAAATTTACGCATGATTCTTATAATATGGATTTCCATGAACTTTTTGAAGATCTTTCACATGTATCAGTTAGTAGTATGTTTTGAACTATATAAGCCAGTAAAATGAGAACTACATTCACCTATGTGGAGCTTAAATTTTAATAGGAAAATATATATGAAAATATTCATGATATTATATATATGTATTATGTATCACCATTGTATTTCATGTAATTATGTCATGTAATATTCCTTCATTTTTTATTTTTAAAATATTCATCTACTTGAAGATTTTCCACGAGCAGATTGATTCCCCAACTGCTCCCAGCAACCTGGGCTGAGTTCCGCGGGGGAGTTGGGAACCGCTCAGGTGTCCCTCCCTGGGATCCAGGCATCCGGGTCATGCCCTCCTCCTCTCGCCCTCTGGGATCCAGGCGTCTGGGCCATGCCCTCCTCCTCTTGCCCTCTGGGATCCAGGCGTCTGGGCCATGCCCTCCTCCTCTCGCCCTCTGGGATCCAGGCGTCTGGGCCATGCCCTCCTCCTCCCACCCTCTGGGACCCAGGCGTCTGGGCCATGCCCTCCTCCTCCCGCCCTCTGGGATCCAGGCATCCGGGCCATGCCCTCTTCTTCCTGCTCATCAGCAGAGCCAAGGCTTGAACCCAGATAGTTCAACACGGAACGCAGGAGATCCAAGTGTCATTCTAGGCACTACACCATGCCCAATTCAATCTAATGTCATAACACCAGCAGAACAAGGTGCTGAGTTTTTCTTGTAGGAATAAACAGAAAAGATTGCTGGAGCTTCCCGTTGTAAACTATCCTGGCTAAGCCTCAGTGTGTCTCAGCATCCTGGAGTCACACTGACATACTTACGTTATAAGTGTGTTTTCTGAATGTCTCTGCTAACAATAATCACCTGAGGGCCAGGCACAGTAGCATAGTGGTTAAAGTCCTCACCTTGCACACGCCAGGATCCCATCTGGTCGCTGGTTCTAATCCCGGTGGCCCTGCTTCCCATCCACCTCCCTGCTTGTGACCTGGGAAAGCAGTTGAGGATGGCCTAAAGCCTTGGGACCCTGCACCTGCATGGGAGACCAGGAAGAGCTCCTGGCTCCTGGCTTTAGATTGGCTCAGCACCGGCCGTTGCAGTCACTTGGGGAGTGAACCATTAGATGGAAAATCTTCCTCTCTGTCTCTGCTCCTCTCAGTATATCCACCTTTCCAACAAAATAAATAAATAATTTAAAAAATCAGTTTTCAGGTGATGATTCATTATATTTATTTATTTATTTATTTATTTATTTATTTATTACTAAACCCTCCTCAGGCCTATTCAGATGGAATCTCTAAGAAAGTAGCTTTGGAATTCTCAGTTTGAATGACTCAGAGGATTTAAGTCACAAACATTTAGAAAACACTTCGGTTCTCACAGCAACTTCATAAAAATGTGAGTGCGCCTGCTTTCTAACTGAGAAAGCTAAGGTAAAAGGGATTCATTATCTGCTCCATGGACTCCTGAGGCTAAAACAACCTGACTTGCAAAGACCGTGGTTTCCGTTGCATGAAGCTGCTTTTGTTCTCTAAGAAAACGATCGGTTTGGATGTGGAAATATGGAATTTAAAATAGTTTTACAGTACAATTCGTTTCTGTTGCTTCTTAAAATGATGTTACAGTCCGTTTCAAAGTGCTGAAGAAAAGAATATTGAGAAACTGAAAGAAGAAAATTTCTGTGAACAGTAAAAAGTAAAGATTTAGGGGAAAGCCAGACTTGTGTGTGCCAAAGGGATGTCTGTCCCCATGTTCATTGCAGGATTGTTTACAATAACCAAGATATGGAATCAACCTAAGTGTCCCCCAGTGAGCGAATACCGCTGCCTGCAGAGACGGCCTTGGTGCACGGAGCCAATAATAACACACGTGAACTCTGACTGATGGTTGAAAGCCGAAATTTATTAGTGGCATCAGACTTTATACACTGAGGGTCATATGGGATAGGGGAGGAAGTATTGAGTTTATCAACAGAACCCATCAATTGTTTCCACACTTTTGTCTGCAACTCCTGTTGTTTTGTATAGTCTACCAACTGTTCTCACTGTTCTCATTCACATGCTGTCCACTCAACTGTTCTCACACAAATGATATCCAATCAGTTATACAATAGGTATCCATTCGGTTGGTCCTATACAAAGGATATCCAATCAGTAAACAAATGGCATCCATTCAGTTATTCACATACGAATATTATCCAATCAATTGTAATCCTGTGCTCAATGACCTTCTAGGGTCACAATGTCCTTCTACAGATGAATGTATAAACCCTCCACACACACATGAACAACACAGATAAACCTGGAGTATATTATGCTTCATGATATAAACCACGGAAGACCAATACTAAGTCATCTCACTTACCCTTGAAACATAAATTCAAGTTCAAAGTTACATAAAGTAAAATGGTTGATAGTCACCGGGGTAGCGGTACTATGGGTCTGAATAGATATTGATCAAAGGACATAAAATTTCTGTTAGAGAAGGAAAGTGACTTGAGGAGCTCGGCTGTACCACATGATAATTGTAACTGAAAACAATGTACTATATATTTGAAAATTGGTGACAGAATGGATTTTAAAATATACTCATCAGAAAATAAGTATGCAAAGCAATAGATATGATAATCAGCTTGATTTGCTGGCTTTGCAGCATATACACATATCAGAACTTCACATTCATCAAGTTCATGGGCGGGCACAGTGTGATGACTGCGCTAAACCCTTGCCTTGCTAGTACCAGGATCCCAAATGGGCACTGGTTCATATCCTAGCTATCCACTTCCCATCCAACTCTCTGCCTGTGGCTTGGGAAAGCAGCAGAGGATGGTCTAAAAGGATCTTGCACCCACATGGGAGACCTGGAAGAAGCTCCTGGATCCCAGCTCAGCCTCAGCTATGGCTGCCACTTGGGGAGTAAGCCAGCAAATGGAGTATGTTTCTCTCTGTATCTCCTCTCTGCAAATCTGTTTTCCAGTAAAAAGTAAATAAACCTTTAAAAACATTCATAGAAAATGTTTTATGAGAAAACTAGGCATGGATTTCCAAGTGTTTTGCATCAAAGTAAACTTTTTAGTTTCCTTTTCCATGAACTCTTTAAGGTACCTTCATATAAGCATCAGAGAAGCCATGAGGACTCAGGCAGTAGCATGCCAGCCAGTATTTAGGAACCGGCTGTTCAGTGCCAGTAAGGCATAACACACAGTATTTGTGGATCTTAGTGGTATGCATACCCCACCATGGTTAACACTAAAAGGACACTGATTCAAAATGTTCCTGAAAATGTCATAACCATCTTTCTCCAGCCTGCAGGTGTCAGCAGCAACAGACTTTGAATTTGAGCCCACTTCCCTCTTCTTCAGGTCTGCACAAAACTGAAATTAAGTCATAATTGCACTGACTACAGTAAGTGCATGGAGCTAGGGCAGTCATTTTTTAGAAGGAAAATAATTATTCATGCTGATATCTGCTATTAAAATGTAAGATTTCCAGGAATTTACTTGACCTTTGCGCAGTTGGCACTGTCAAACGAACAATAGATACTGAACAGAGTTAAAAGTTTTATCCCAGGGTCTGGCATCGTAGCACAGCAGCAGTCTCCACCTGCAGACACTGCTGTTCCTTGTAGGGACTCATTTAATCCCTTACGGTTCCAATTCCACTGTAGTTCCCTTCTGATGCACCAGGGAAAGCAGCAGAAGGTGGCCTAAGTAAGTTCCTGACTTCGGACTGATCTAGCCAACTATTGGCAGAAATTTAGTATACCCATCCTTTAATTACCGTAAATGTGGCTTTTTTTTCTTTGATGATTTAGTTCTGGAGATCATAGCATATCAGTGTGTAGCAGTCACCTCCCTTCCCCTTTATAGCTGCATACGTACAGCATTACGTAAATATGAGCCAGATAGTCAGCGACTCCTAAAGAAGCAGACAGTTGACCTTCAAGTTTTTGCTGTCATAAATTATGTCAGAATAACTAGCCTTGTGTATACGCCATTTTGTATTTCTGTCATTATACCTGTGTGAATTGATGTATTTAGAAGACATCAATAGTAATAAATAATAGTTTATATGTATATGCATATATATACACACATATGTATATAAATTTGGGTAGACACATTTTAAAAATTGTACAATTTTAAATTCCAAGGACGGAGTATAAGAAGTTTATTTCCATACAGCCCTATAAACACGTATGTGTCAAACATATTTGTTTTTTCCCCTCTCATAAGTGAATTATGTTTTCTCGGTGTAATTCTAGCCATAGGTTTCTTGTTATGAAGAAGAAGTTAAGAGTCAAACAACAGCTGTATTTTGTCCTCTGCGAATCACTTGCTATAGCCTTTATTTTCAATTTTTTTTTTTTGGTGAGACAATGGTTAACTTTTTTTAAAATAAGTAGGCTTGTCAGAATTTTGTTGGATTGCTTATTTATTTTTAGTCATAGTTAATACATTTTGCCTATGCTCAATCAGTACAGAAATCCACTCATATTTTCTTACAGTTCTTATTTGTACTTGGAATTTTGAACAGGATGCTGAAGAGATTCATAATCCAAGCTTGTAGACTAGTGTCAAACACTGTTCTTATTTAATGTGAGACAACAACTAGTTGTGTTTGCATGTCTCTTAATTCTTCTAAATCACATCGGTCTGCTGTCTTCATGCCTGAGTGACAAGATTTTTCATTAGTAGAATAGAAAAGAAAAATTATTTCTGGAGTCATTTGTGCTATAAGTAAACATATTCAATCATCAAAACCCTTACCTTTCTAAGAGAAGACAACGTAAACCATTATGATGCAGCCCACAATCCAGCCAATCAGGAGAAGGACAGGCACTACAAAGCGGGCCAAGCTAGCCTCTGTTAGAAAATCAAGAAAACCCATTAGGTTGCTCTGTAATGGAATCAGGAGTCTAGAGAAGAGACACGGACACGTGGCATAGCAGTGAAGACCCTGCTTAGGACGCACACAGCTCATATCACAGTTGCTGAGTCTACGCCTGCACGGCTCACCATTCCAGTCTATGCACCATGAGAGTCAGCACATAACGGCTTGGGATGTGGATCACTGCCACCCGGAGAACAGTTCCAAACTGAACCCTGGGTTCCTGGCATTGGGCTAACCCAGCCTTGGCTATTGTGGGCATATAGAAAGTGAACTAGGAGATGGAGGATCATTCTCTGCCTCTCTTCACCTACCTTCAAATAAAAATAAATAATAACGTGTTAAAAATCAGTATTTCTTCAAGAAAACCTGAAATATGAGGAATTTGATAGTATCAAATATATATGTGCATGTGTATGTATATGTATGTATATGTCTGTGTATAAATATATATATATCTAGAGAGAGAGAGACAGAGAGAGAGACAGAGAGAGATTTGCAAAGGACACCTATAACCCGGGTGTGACACCTGAGATTTGGGCCAAACACCTGAGTTTAAACTACAGGTTTTGGGTCCATCACAGTGGCTAAATCTTCGCCTTCATGCCTGGAATCCCATATGGGTGCTGCTTCATGTCCTGGCTGTCCCACTTCCCATCCAGCTCCCTACCTGTGGCCTGGGAAAGCAGTCAAGCACGGCCCTAAGCCTTGAGACCCTGCACTCACCTGGGAGACCCAGAAGAAACTTCTGGCTCCTAGCTTCAGATGGGCTCAGCTCTGGCCACTGCAACGACTTGGGGTATGAACCAGCGGATGGAAGTTATTTCTCTCTCTCTATCTCCTTCTCTCAGTATATCTGCCTTTCCAATAAAAATAAACAATGTTTTTTTTTAAAAAAAAAAAAAAAACCTACAGGTTTTGCTTTTACAGATAGGTGACCTTGGACAACTCTGAGTTTAAACTTTCCCATTTATATAACATGGATAATGAAACGCATGGCATCTGATTCCTACAGCACTTGTAGGGTCAGCTGACACAATAATCACAAATCTTCGTAAATTCTCACCCCACTTTGTGGGGTGTAAGAATGTGGATTACCTTGGTGCACGTAAAAGCAGGTCAGTGTTCCTCAGGTAATTCCCCCTACACTGTAGAATGATGACGTAAGGAGAGGTGTTGAAAATCAGCCTTGGCCTCAATAACTAACTGTTCTTCTTAATGATCACAGGAGAACAAATACATCACAGTTTAAATAATCATTCCGTACCAGAGAAAAGAGATGTTGTATTTAGTAACATGCTCTGTATAATAACGAGCACTAAGTCTGACTCTGTGGGCAGGATAACCCACCTGCAACTGAAAAAAAAAAAAGTGTATGCATAATTCCTCCTGTTCCTTCTGTATGCACTCTTACTGAAAAAAGATTTATAAACATATCTTTTTGGAATAGTCACTGCATTGTAACTTTACCTTTCCAGCACACACACACACTCACACACACACACCACATGAACAGATCCAGGAACAACAGCACAGAAAGGCATCCTAATCCTATAGAACATATGCTTCATTGACAAAAGCAGTGAGACCTTATGCCATTAGCTCACAGAGAAAATCTGTATTTTCAGCAATTGCAATCCTATTACAATCGCCATCACTTTATAATGGTGAAGACCATGTTACTGAAATGAAATCATCAGCAGAGTAGATATTTCTAAAACTAGAAAAGCAAACTTTTTCTAACTTTTCCTTACAAAATTCATCTCTGGAGTAGAGATGAATTTTCATACTTGAAACCTATTTTACCAAAACAGTTTATATTAACTGACACATTCAGAAGTTTTCCTTCTTTCTCCTTCTCACTGTGACCTTGAGCAAGGCATTAACTACTAATGAAAAAGGCCCTCCTGTTTATTTTTCATGTTATATGGTTTTAAGGACAAAGCAATCATCAAGCCATTCCCATTACTCATTTGGACAAAAACCTTTTTCTTAATGTATCATTATACAAGTACACACTAGTATTTCTTAACTACTCACACATGTGACTCAGTATTTTCCCAATTACAAAGAAATTGAAAGCCAATACTGATATTTTACTAATATTTTATTTTACTTCACAATAATGATATTGTACTTTACTAACACTTTACGAATGCATGTTTTGTAAAATGTAATTCCAGAAGGTTTTAACAAAAGTTATGTGTCATAAAAGCCCTAAAATTAAATATTCCATGAAAACACAACACAAATGACTGCCTTTTAACACTCATAGCACTTCTGCATCGGTATTCTTTTCTCACTGGTGTTTTCAGTTTTACCACAATTTGTAGCATTAAGACATTCTAAAACACTACATATGCTTATTGTATCTATTGTGTTAATTGCTTTGCTTAAATATAAAAATATAAAAATATTTACACACCAGAAAAAAAAATGGACTTAGATGTGCAACATGGCTGAGAACCCAATCATGTTCAAATTAGAAACTCAGCTGAGCAGGGTAAGGCACGTCTCCACACACACCGGGTCTCTCACTAGCTCTGACCCAGACCTCCGCCATGCTTGGTACTGGTCCAGCATCCCAGGGTCTCCGAACCAGTACCACACTGGAGAATCGCCCATTTCTAGGCCACTTGAAGAAATACACAAGAACAATAGCAAAACCTTTGGCTCATTGGATCCTCTCGCAGTTTTTCTTAACCTAGAAACATGATTCACAAATTGCTCATCTAATTCATTTTTGCAGCTACACTAACATAAATGATTAATAATCCGCACAGCAGAGATATAATGTTCTCCGTAGTGCCAGAGAAATACCAAAAACCACAAATAAGCCAAATTCTGAAAGTCTTTTTTGCCATAAAGCTTACCTTTCTCAGCCATTATTCCTGCTGTGGAGTGGCTTGGTCAGGGCCACACTCACCTCTTCCTTATTGTTATCCTGCGTCTCTTTGAACTTTAAATAGAGAGATATGTGAAGAGTGTGGCAGCGGTCCCTCTCCCGGCTGCCAGCTGTCTGTAAGGTGACGTCAGTCATTGGAAAGCAGAGTCCTCTGGCTTTAGTATTCTGTTGTTGTGGAGGAAACAAAGGATTAGGTGACCTAACCAATTATGTATGTCATGCAAGGGTACACAATTTCAATTTACCTATTGCCCTCAAGAAGACAGGAAAAAATCTCCCGTGGGTGATCTATGCATAGACAAAAAAAAATCACATTGCAATTTAGAAAAATTACACCAAGAAGAGATACTGATGCCTTAGAAAGGAGCAGCTATTCCCAGCTCCATGATGCAACGGCTAAATCCTCACTTTGCAAGTACCAGGCTCCCATATGGGTGCTGATTCCTGGCCTGGCTGTTTCATTTTCCAGGCAGCTCCCTGCTTACAGCGTGGGAAAGTAGTGGAGGATGGTCCAAAACCTTGGGACCCTGTACCCACACGGGAGATCTAGAGGAGTCTCCTGGCTCCTGGTTTTGGGTCAGCCCAACTCTGGCCATTAAAGTTATTTAGAGAGTGAACCAGCAGATCACAGATTTTCTTTCTGTCTCTCTTTCTATCTATAAATTTGATCTACCCTTCCACTAAAAATAAACAAACCTTTAAAAAAATTTTTTTCAAAGAAACGACTTTGGAATTGGAGATCCAAGTTCAAATTCCAACTTAGCTATTTTTGTAATGAAGGCCAACTTGTTTAACCTGAGCAGCAACTTCTTTAATTTTAAAATGGGGATAATAACATCTTTCCATGGGAGAACAAGGAATTTTAAAATCACATAAAACATAGACAGTTCCTTGTTACATTACAGATGAAAAAGTTAAAATAAATGGTGCCCCTTTGTTTGGACTCCACTAAAAAAAAAAAAATCTTACTGCAGTAGAGATGTTGTAGCCATGTCTAGAGTTTTCAGAGAGCAGTCATAAGCTTGCTGTTTTTATTAGCAAGGTATAAAAATAGACATTTCATTTTTCAAAGTCCAACCTGGTTTATGTAACATGTAACCTAGACCATTCTCCAGGTTCTCATTGGAATAATTAATGCCGAAGTCTGGATGGAAAGAATTTAGTGAAGAGTTTCTGTTGACTAAATTTCAAAAAGTCCAACATGTGGTTAAGAAAGACTCAGAAAGATAGGTGTTGCCTGATAGAATCCACAGAGCTCCACATGTAGTATCCCCACCCCCCCAAGGACCGCAAGATGACTTGAGTCGTGTGATGGCTACCGAGGATCATCCCACGATCACCCATCTCCCAGGAAAACAAATCTGAACTCCTTGCTTAGACACCTAAGAAACACATCTCTCTGCTTTTCTCTTCGCACTGATGCTTCATTCACATAGAATTCTTTGCTGCTCTACAAATGTAATTTTTCTACCTGAAGCATTGTGCCCGTGGATTAAAGCGTGGAGTCAACTATTTTACTATTTTTCTTGACCATGTAACTTAAATCAACTTGTTCTCTCTGCCTGCCCACACTTAATATTGAAAAGAAAATATCTACCTGTACCAGGCAAGCAAAGACATTCTACATTGCCTATGGGACAAAATCCTTATTTATCTGGTAAAGCTCAGTATTTTTAACATTAAAAGATACATATTGAGCAAAAGTTAAATGAAGACAAGACAGAGGGACAGAGGGAAGGAAAGTGGTCAATGACCTCACTTATAATTATATGAGCTCAAAAAGTTATAAAAACAGTGAAATTTAAACTGTAATTACCTTAAAGAAAAAAAAAATGAGTCACTTTCCGAAAAGCAGAAGCATACCTACAAGAGTAAAGTAATTTGCCTAAAATTAAGAAAAATAGAAGTGGACGTCTTGTTATTTGATTACTGTCTGCAGTCCTTGCCTGTACTCACACTGAAGAATGACCTTTTTGTTTTTCTCTTGTTCAATTCTTTATTTAGCGGTGTATTGTGTCCAGTACGGCCAGGCTTGCAAAGAAAATGGTGACATGTAAAATGAACAACTCAGCTTAAAGTGTTCAGTGTCAGGAAGCCAGGGTGTATTCTGCCCAACCAGGCCAAGAGGCCCCAAAGTCTAGTGTTTTTGTTTTGTTTTGTTTTTTTCCCATAAGGGTCTTTTATCAGCAGTAATAAAAATAATCATCAATGACGTGTATTTTTGTGAAAAACAGGATCTTGTGATGAGTAAGTTTGAACATGGTGAATCAGGGAGCAATGGGGTTTTTTGGTGTTGTGAGAACTTTTTTGTTTACAGGTGTAATTGATTACTGAGACGCTGGCAACTAAGGTAGCAGTGACATTGTTGGGAGATCTTGAGGGGGACATGTTAGGGTTAACTAATCATTCGCTAGGACCCACGAGATACTGACGGGGGCCCACAGCTCATCTTTAACTGCACAAGTGCCACCTGAGCTCTGCCATCATCACCCTGACACACTTAACGGGGCTCCTTAGCAGCGCAGCCAGACACACTCCTAAAGTGTCCCTGACACTTACCCTTACTTCAGCCCATACAGCGGTCCTCAATAGTGAACATTAAACCTGTAAGTGTAACAAATTTAAAATACAGTATTGCAACAACTATGAAAAAAAGCAAGACAGGTTAAGAAAAAAGGAAAGAGAGATAGAGAAGAAGATAGGGTGGGAGAGAAGCATCATTATATGTTTAGATCTACCCTTGAATTACACTGAATCAGTCCTCTTGATATTAACATGAGAATTGGCAAGAATTGTGCTACAGTACCTACCATGCGTTTCCTGTGACCATTAGAATCTAAAGCATTAATAATTTCCTTTAAAAGAATAAAAAGAATATAACCACATTGCAAACATCCATTTCCATTCCAATCATCTTACGCTTTTTTCTTTAATATGAAAGTGACTGCTGTTAACATAATTGCTATCAATTTGATGTTTGAAGAGAGATTACTTTAATTTTGTTTTCCTGCTAGTGTAGAAAGTAAAATGGAGAAGCGGTTGTGAAATTCAATGAATGTGAATTGTGCAGACCTCAGAAAACGCTTCAGTCTAGAAGCTTATCTCTTGATATATCATCAATCTTTCTGTTTAATATTTATTCAGGAAAAATGTTTTATTCATTAATAGATTTGGTTCATTTTGAACTCATGAACACAAAGGCCTATATTTGACCAATTTCTGATCTGCTTCTAACTCATTACTAAGAAATATTTTCTATTTCTGCTTAAGTTACATTAGGATAGCAATAGACTTTTTAGGCAACCGCAACTAAAAAGTTAAAATATTCAGTTCCTTGTTGGAAATAAATCAGAATTTCTCACTTTTCAAATATACTTTCAACAATCAATGTGTAGAATTATAATGTATAAACCTGAACGTGCTAGATAATATACATTTGAGTGGGCGAATAGATGGAATTAAATGAATGCAGTAGAAGTTAGCTTAATTTATATGCTAATCAGAGTTTGACTTGTGGCAATACTTTAAAAAGTAATAAGTAGTAAGATGATCTTTATTATTTGCCAGTTCATAAGGTACACTTCCATAGATAATAATTCATATTCAGTTGGACTGCTGCCAACACTAAAATACTGCACAAATCAAGATATGGTCAAATGAAATTGAGTAACATTCAGCACAAAAAGAAAAAATCCTCTAGATTCTCCTTTATAAAAGCAACAAGAAAATTGTCTAAAATTTCAAAATCACCTTTCAGGATCCTGGAAAGTAACCAGGAGCTTACAACAATTTGGAGAGCATTTCTTTAAGAAAAATGCCCAGATCTCCATAAAAATACCAAGCTTTGTGCTGTTGTAATTTAGCCTACTCTAATCTCCAACTTTGAAATAACCTTGAAAACAAGTATCGGACAACAGCATGGTAAGCCAGCTGGGAATGGGATAGAGCACTTTGAAGGTCTCATTCATTTGAAAATCATCTTTTCTTCACCAATCTGGTGATTCCCCCCAAAAGACCCTTTGCAGCAATATACAATTGTAATTAATAACAAACTAAGGTAACTGATACTCATATGTTATTCTGTACCAATATGCATTCTTTATGCATTCTTTTAAGTAAACATAATACCTGATATTGTATTTCAGTATTGTATAAAAAAAGATACCTTTGGATTTTGTAAAATATGTGTTGAGTGTTCTACAGTAAGCATTTTTAACTTGATTTAATGAAAATTGTCATCTTGGAAGCAAATTTAAAGATATTGCTGTCTCCATACGCTTTATGTATCCCTGTGCTCCAGGTCAGACAGGTGCATATGTTGAAACACCTTCCTGTTCATGGTTATTAGGCATTCTAAAGGAAAACTTAAAAACAAATTTAAGAGAACAGTTTTCATCTCTACCTAAACTTGAGTTTTAAAGAAGAAAGTGAAGGGTATGGCAGAGCAGTCGGCTGCCTACTTGAATGCTAAAGGTATAGCCTAATACATTCACAAAACCCTCTTGCAGTTTCTGAGAAACTTATTAGTTCCCAGCATTTAAGAACATTTCTGTGTAATCACTGGGCAACGACTAAGCTAGCCTCAATGACTGCTTACCAAACAAATATGGATTGTACAAATTTAGTTGGGAGAGTAACAATGAAAACTAATAGCAATCAGAAACAGCAACAAAACCAAGCTCTTGGGAGAGGCAGTATCTGATTTTAAAAACTATCTGATTACATTATTTAATTGTACACTTTCAACCAAGAAAAAAATACAAGAGAAAAAAAATATGATGCCTACCTTGAAGATAACAACAACCAAAAGTCGATCCTCAGCTTTGAAAATGAATTAATCTTTAGAATCTACCAAATATCACAGCCGAGGTCAGGATGTCTCGGACATGTTCAAACCGCTTACGTTAGCATTACAGTTTTTAATACCTTGAATCTTGGCACTGTCCTGGTTTCTTTATGAATATGTATGACTTTTGCATATGTTCACAGAGCAAGTTCATTTCATCAACATTAAATACCTATTCTTAAAAAATTATTCATCCACCATTACACTCTATAACTATTCCTTCAACATTCTAGTACCTCCAATAGTGTTATTTGCTGTCCTATGAACTATCTTCACAAAAATTATTATACTTTCTTATGTGTTAGAATCCTTTGTAAGTTGCTATAAACAGTTGAATATATATAGAATCATTAGAACACTATGTTACTATATTGAAAAGATTTATTGTGGCATACCAGGTTAAGGTTCCATTTTCTTTTTTTTTAAGATTTATTTATTTTTATTGCAAAGTCAGATATACTGAGAGGAGGAGAGACGGAGAGGAAGATCTTCTATCCATTGATTCACTCCCCAAGTAACTGCATTTACCAGCCCTGTGCTGATCCAAAGCCAAGAGCTAGGAACCTCCTCCAGGTCTCCCAGGCAGATGCAGGGACCCAAGGCTTAGGGCCAAGCAGAGAGCTGGATGGGAAGTGAAGCTGTCAGGATTAGAACCAGCGCCCACTTGGGATTCTGGCACATTCAAGGTAAGGACTTTAACTGCTAGGCTACTGCACTGGACCCAAACTTCCATTTTCAATTTCAGCATCCTATATAGGTCCCAGTTTATGTCCTGGCTTCTACACTTCCTGTCCAATTCTGTGCTAATGCTTCCTGAAAAGTAGAGGGTGATGACCTAGGTGCTTGTCCTGGATACTCACGTGGAAGATCTGAGAGAAGGTGGTTCATTGGTATATTAAAAGGATGGCACAAATGCATTTTTATTTGTAATATTTTCCTCACTTGACTTAAAAGACAATTGCAAAAATTATAATGTATAACAATGTAATGTATATGAAAAATAACAACTTAATTGGAGAATCAAGATGGCAGAACGGGTTAAGGACACATTTAAACTGAGAGAGAAATATTAGCCAGTGTGAAGCCGAAAGCACACATTCCAGGAAATAGAAGAAAATAGAACAGCAGAGGGGTGGTGGAGATTCATGGACACAGAAAAGCAGCAAAAAAAAAAAAAAAAATGGTGTGTTGTTGCAGTGACTTATACCCCAGCGTCATTCAGCAAACAGTGATTCGAATTGCACCAGCAGCCGGAACTCCACCAACAACCAGGTGGCAAGGGACTTTCACTATGCACTCAGGAGATGTACCCAGACAATGAACTTTCCATCCTACTAGTCCATTTGATTTGACCAGAGACTGAGCAGCAGATCCCAGATGGGAAGTGTGGGAACAGGGTGGATTACGCAGCCCAGTCCACATATCAGAGCCATATCTCAAGACGTTGAGAAAATGGGGTACACAGAATTCAGAAAACTCATTTTAAAGCTTTTGATCAATAATGAAAAGCACATACAAGAATTCAAAGAATTTAAGGAATATTTTACACAAACAATAAAAGCAATAGAAGCAAATCAAAGCTGATATATCAGAAATTAAGAACACAGTAGAGCAAATTAAAGGTACAACAGAGAGTCTCCAAAGTAGAAGGAAGCAAGCAGAAGAAAGAATTTCAGAATTGAGAGATATTTCCTGTCATCAGGGAGAAGCAAACAAAAAGCTGGAAGCAGAGCTGGAGCAGACCAAAAAAAGTATTCAAGAATTGAAAGACACTATTAAGAGGCCAAATATAAGAGTTATGGGAGCCACAGAAGGTGCAGAAAGAGAAACTAGTTTTACAAATATATTTAATGAAATAATAAAGAAAAATTTCCTAATCTAGAGAAAGAATTGGGAAACAAGATCCAGGAGGGGCACAGAACTCCCAACAGGCTTGATCAAAGGCAATCTTCACCAAGACACATGATCACCAAGCTCTCTTCAATTGAACATAAGGAAAAGATACCAATTAAACTCACAGGAGATCTCTCACAGGAAACTGTACAAACCAGAAGAGAATGGAGTGACATATTCTAGATTCTAAAAGAAAAAAATTGTCGGCCTAGGATAACATATCCAACAAAGCATTCTTTAGTCTTTGAAAATGAAATAAAATTCTTCCTCAGTAAAGAAAAGCTAAAAGAATTTGCCTCTTCCAAACCTGCCCTACAAATGATACTTTAAGATGTTCTCTTGACAGAGAAGAGGAATAGCACTTACCAAAACCAAAGGCAAATGTGAAGAACATCCCAGCAAAATGAAAACAGAAGACTAAATCAATGAACAACCCATTCCTAAAATGACAGGACCAAAGTGCCGCCCATACATATTAACCCTGAATGTAAATGGCTTAAGCTCAATCAAACGTCATAAATTAGTAGACTGAATTAAAAAACAAAACTCATCTATTTATTGTCTAGAAGAGACACACTTCACCAACAAAAATGAGTGGAAACCACATCGCATGGGATTTGATGTTTTCTGTTAGTTTCATCTCTTCAAAATACTTCTGATTAAATCATTCAATGACACATAGATCAGAGTAGCATCATTTTCTTCAAGAAGGTTCTTGATTTTCACTTCTTCAGCTACACGTTGGACATTTAATAGCATGTTGTTTAACTTCTTGGTGTTGTTAATTTCTTTTTTCTTTCTGATGTTGATTTTGTTTTGTGGCTCTTCATTTAAGGAGATGTATTGTAGCTGTGAAATGGAGATTGTCATATCTAGTAACATGTTATTTAACTTCATGGCATTGTAAATTTCTATTTTTCTTTCTATTGTTGATTTTGTATTAAGACTTTTCATTTGAGGGGATGTACAGTAGGTGTGAAATGGAGACTAACATATCCAGATGTGAGGATACAATTCAGTATGGATATTTCTACTTCCAGACAAAGATGAACTTACAATGAAACTGTTCACTATATCTTGACAATAGGATTCTGGACTCTCTGCCATTGTCCATGCCCGCAATGATGGACATAAGACTGTGTATGAAGAACTATACTTTAGTAATGATATAGAGGAACTAGGCGTGGGGGGGGGTGGGGGAATTGGGGCTTTGATAAGGGAAATGCCAGGCGCCTATGCAACTGTACCATAAAATGATAATAATAATAATAATAAAATGTAAAAACAAAAGAAAAAAATTTTAAAGAAAATATGCTCAGCATATTTAGGGATGTAAAGCACAAATACAGAAATGCAGATCACAACCAAACTGAGATGGCCACAATAAAAACACCAGAAAAAAAAAAAACAAGTTTCACAAATATTTGGAGAAATTAGAACCTTCTTACAGTGCTAGCAAGTATGTAAAGTGGTACAGTCACTTTTGAAAAAGCTTTGTAGTCACCCAAAAAACAGAGAACTGACTTTTGATCCAGTGATTCCATTGCTATGCATACATATAAAAGAACTAAAAACAGATGTTCAAATACAATTTGTGCATACATATTCATGGCAATATTGTTGCCAAAAATATGGAAACCTCCCAAATATCTCCAAACTAATGAATGGCTAAGCAAAATGTGGTATATACATTCAGTTTAATGTTATTCAACCGTAAGAAGAAGTTGAGTATGTGTTAAGGCATAACTGAAGCTTGAATATATTTTAAAATATTTATTTATTTATTATTCTTTACTGGAAAGACAGGTCTCTTCTTCAAAGAGGACATACAGAAAGATCATCCATCCACTGGTTCACTCCCTAATTGCCACAATAACCAAAGCTGAGCCAATCCAAAGCCAGGAGCCAGAAGTTTCTTCTGGGCCTACCACGTGGGTACGGGGCCTTGAGGCATTGGGTTGTCCTTTTTGCTTTCCCAGGTCACCAGCAGGGAGCTGGATGGGAAGTGAAGCAGCCAGGACATGAACCGGTGCCTTTATGGGATCCTGGCACTTGCAAGGTGAGAATTTATTCACTGACCCGTTGCACCACGCCCGAACCTTGAGTATATTGTGCTATGTAAAAGAGGCCAGGTTGTGTAATGTGACTCCATCATTATGAAATGTCCAAAACATGTAAAGTGTTACAGACAGAAAGCAGATCAATGATTACTCATAGTTGGGGGTGCAAATTTACCTTACATAAGACCCGAAGAAATGGTGGGGACAGTGCTGTCTTTTGGCAACTGACAAAGCTTATTTCTAGGGTCTCAGTTTTTATACATTTTATGAAACAATGATTCAGACATAATTCAAAATTAGATCATGTCTAAGACAACAAAGAAGCTAACAAGGCGACCTAGTGAAAAGGTCATTGTAACAGGGAATAGATAATATGTCTGTCCTTGATTGACTAGACAGAGCACAGATGTCCGCCTATCTTCAGGAAGAGCATGAAAACACATCCAGGGACTCACTGGGGGCGAGAGCACACTGAGGGTGAGAGGCCTTCCGCCTTCTCTTTCCTGGAGCCTCTTCTCAACAGGGTCCCACAGGCCTCCCCTCTCCCAGCTATCCTAAGGGCTGGATTCCGACAGGGGGGAAATAAGGACGAGGTTTCTTTGGGGAATAATGAAAGTGTTCTGAAATTGTGTAATAGTGATTGTTGCAGAAACTTGTGAACACACCCAAAACCACTAAACCAAACATTTCAAAAACAATGAGTCTACAGTATATGAATTGTAGCTCTATTTCTTAAAGTTACAATTAATTCTAGAAACCACCAATTTCTAGAGAAGTCTTCCTCTGCCCCGATGGCAAAACAGGGCTGGTATGGAGAAAGCTTAACAGAAACAAGACAAACGTTAAACAGAGTAGTAAAGAAAGTTGAAGAACTTTTTAAAAAAAAGACGTGTTTACTGAGTATCCACCATGTATTAGACATCACTCCAGGTGCCTGAGATGAGCAAAGATTCCTGTGCCCCAGTGTTACATATTCTTAAAAGTGATAGGCAGGGGGAAAAAAAGGAAACGGAAAACTGATTGAAACTAATGAGGTTGATCCTCGGGCTGGCTTTTCCT